TTTAAATAATAACCTAAGCCAAGCTTCACAACCCTTGTCAGCCAAACATACAGAGAATGGCTTTACAGGGGCAGCACCAGAGTAGTTTGATTGAGGGGAGAGGGGGGGGGGGCACATTGGTGATAGGTTTGAAAATTATGTCCAAAGTATCCGATTTTGTAAATTGTGAGGATATCAAAGGGCACAATATACACATAAAGAGAAGAAAAATGTTACACACAAGGCCTAAAAAAAAAGGTTGTCATATTGTCCCGTAGCCAAAACATGGGACGGCCTGTCAGAATTTTTTTTAAAAACTTTTCTTCTTCTCCCTCTTTGGGCTGATATTTTTCAGTTTTGAATGCTTTAATATTTTTATTCTCTAAAAAACGGTAAAAAAAAAACTTTTTTAAAAAGCTGACTGTAGATTTCAAGATTTTGGGGTTGGTCGCAAAGGGCAACATGACATCTTTTTGTTTTAGGCCTTATGTACCCGGTACCCCAGTATGTATCAGATTTTGTCACTGATCGATAAACATCCTGGTATAAAAATGGCTGTAAAGCATAACTGATATTATATTTCTCGCATAAAATATTCATGGTTCATTTTCAAGGAATCGTGTTCGTACATGTAATTCTATACTGCATATCATATAATTTTACCTCAAAAATTATCCCAACGACTTTTGAGAATCAACTCTAGGGCCATTACTGCGACCTAAATGGAAGCGTCGACAAAATTGAGATGGAAATGAAAATACTCTTCATGGTCTGATGATGATCATCATCAACATCATCATGATCATGATCACCATCAACATGATCATGATCATGATCATTATCATCATCATCATTAACATTATCGTTATCATCATCATCATCACCTTTACTATCATGATCTTCATTGTTTACATGTCTATATAACTTCTCCCATTCTGAAATCTATCATAAGTGAACACAGACCACCTAATTCGTCCCCATGACAAATCAAATTTCTAGTTTAAAACTAATTCTGTAATCACCTTACAATGGTACACACATTTGAATATAGCCTACATGTAGATGGAAGATACCAAATACATTGCATTTCTCCTCATAATTCATTAAAACGATTAAATGTATAGATATTGTAGTTTATTCTAACTTATTATCATAATCATTATCATTATCATTCGTTGTACTGCTCTCGAAAATAATCCTCGTCTGAATTTAGTTTCCCCCTCCCGCGCCAAGCGCGGTAGCTTTTACGTTTCATTAAATCATTAGAGAAAGAAGAAGATTCGTTGTACCGTTATGACTTTAAATCCGCGTCTGAATTCAGTTCCACCCTCCCCACTCCTGCGCGAAAGCTTTTACGTTTCATTAAATCATTAGCGAAAGAAGACGATTCGTTGTACCGTGATGACTTTTAATCCTCGTCTTAATTCAGTTTCCCCCCTTCCGCGCAAAGCGCGGAAGCTTTTACGTTTCATTAAATCATTAGAAAAAGAAGACTATTCGTTGTACCGTTCTCGACTCTTAATCCTTGTCTGAATTCAGTTCCACCCCCTCCTGCGCGAAGCGCGGAAGCTTTGACGTTTTATTAAATTATTAGAGAAAGGAGACGATTTGTTGTACCGTTCTCGACTCTTAATCCTTGTCTGAATTTCAAAAATGTTCTTCGTCTACTCCCTATTCTTCCTACGTCCTCTTCCTTTTCACTCCTCTCTTTTTTTGGTCGGCGTTTTTTGGGGGACCACCCCACCGCTCACTACCTAATTGTGACACTGGCAGGTCACTAATTGGCGTGGGGTTCAGGGGGCGGAGCCCCCGAAAGCTCAAGGGTTTTAGGCATTAAATTACCGTCATATGAGCACTAAGGGCCCGCCTTAGGGCCCTAGGTGGAATCCAGAGGGCAGAGCCCTCGGGGTTTTAGGCATATAATCATTGCAGATGAGCATATTTTGATACCTCATTATAATGTAATATACTTTTTTTTTTTAAAGTGGGGGGCTCGAGGATCCCGATCCCCGCCGTTCTGCGGGCCCTGAAATGTAGGTATATCAAGAAGCACTTTCTTGCCTGGCTGTAAATTTAGGAATTTGTCATTTTCCAACAAACGCATAAAAAAGAATAATTTACTTAAAAGTGAGGAAACATCTCGGAAAATGATGTCATTTCAGCATTATTTGTAAACCACCGTTATACAATTAGAAATAAGCCACGTTTAAATTTGAATTCCCCAAAGCCCCCCCCCCCTCCCCTATCAGTACGCCAGTGCTCCCCCCCCCCCGATCTACACCTTGTTGGCGGGAAAATTGCAACTCATATCCCTTACCTTTCTTCATTCTCTTTTTTCCTTTTCGTTTCTCTCCTCTTTTCCTTTCTCTTCCCTTCCTTCTCTTTCTCTTTTAGGTTTGCTGGGGGTTGGGGGGGGGCATGGTCATTTTGGCCCCACCCCGCTCCACACATTGATGGCGGGATTAACCGCAACTGATCTCCCCTTCTTTTCTTCCTTCTCTCTCTTTTTTTTTAGCGGGGACGGGGGGGGGGGGAGGCGAGGGCCTTTTACCCCCCCCCCCCCGATCCACAACTTGATGGCGGGAAAATTGCAACTGATTACCCCCTTCTTTTCTTTTCTTCCTCTTTTCCTTTTTTCTTTCCCTTTCCTTCCTTCTCTCTTATTTTTTGATTGGGGGGGGGGGAGAGGCAACAGCCTGGGAGGCAAGTCCTTTTGCCCCCCCCCCCCGATCTCCTTCTTCCCTCTTTTCTTTTCTTCTTCCTCTTCTTTTTTCCCCTTCTCTCCTCTTTCCCTTTCCCTTCTTTGCCTTCTCTCTCTCTCCTTTTTTTTGCGGGGGGGGGGGGGTGGGGCAAAGCCCGCTCGGCCCCCCCTCTGGATCCGCGCCTGTGCATTACAATTTGCCGTGAAATGATGAAACTTGACCATTGAAATTCGGATTTTAAAACTTTATTTAACAGGTTCTTTTTTGTGGAGAAATAAGTCCTCATGGACACCTGCTCATGCTAAATATGAATAAAAATACCATCACCTGGAAATATTATTTCTCCAAACCTGTAGAAATAGTACAAGTGGTTTTAAAAACAAACACATAACACCTGAAATTCAGGAGAGTTGGACCACCACCTAAAACAATAATTGAGGACAGGTGTAAAATTTATGGTAATAATAGGTACATTTGAAGCCACTCTCTTTGTGTAGTGTCTAGCATCAGTTAATTTTTTCCACATAAGCAGGCTGATGTTTACAAGCTTCCTATGTATGTTTTTGTAATACATCCATACACAATAATCTGGAAACTGAATTACTGGCCTATATTACAACACAGTAGCTGCACTATTATAACTTCAAATCCAAATTTTAAAAAAGGAAGATCAAATCTTCTGTATCTCCTATGTGTCATGAAATGAACAGAACATGTATACGGTTTTCAGTATCATCATTGAATGTGCCCGATCTATTATATAGGCATTGTATGATAATGGAGTCAAGTAACATGACAAAACTGAATCATAATAGATAATGATGGAATCAACTATGAAAATAAGTTAAACAAAAACATGTAAATACATTAACTGAATATAGTATTACACAAAGAACAACTGTTCATTGATGATAATTGTAAGCATTGTATGGTAATGAAGTCAAGCAACATGACAAAAACTGAATCATTATAAATAATGATAAAATCAACTATGAAAATAAGTTAAACAAAAACATGGGAATACATTAACTGAATATAATATTACACAAAAGAACAACAGTTCATTAATGATAATTGTAAGGATTGTATGGTAATGGAGTAAAGTAACATTTCAAAAACTGAAGAGATAATGATAAAATCAACTATGAAAATAAATTAAACCAAAATATAGGAATATATTAACTGAATATAATATTGCACAAAAGAACAACAGTTAATTAATGATAATTGTAAGCATTGTAAAATGGAGTCAAGTAACATGATAAAAACTGAATCATTATAGATAATGATAAAAATCAACCATGCAGAAGAACACCGTATCATGTGAGATTTTCTTTTAGAGCTCTCTTAAAGACTGCTAGGCTCTGTGCTTCTTTAAGTTACGATGTGGACTGAACCCCTCTCCCTTAGCTCCCAGCACGAATTGAGAGTGATCGTTCGGGGGTCAAGCGTCGAGGTCGTTGACCATGCAGGGTCACAATATCAACCATGACATCGTCATCCATTGACATCAAGAATCCACTGTTATTGCAAAATTGCAAGGCCCATTTAAATCCCATGACGAGTTTGACGGTAAGATTGTAATAACTATCGTGGAAGCCCACCTTCAGGATATCTCTATGCAGTGGCGTACACAGGATTTTTTTCAAGGGGGGGGGGGGGGTTAAAATCGGGCCCAAAAATTCGCAACGACTCAGCCGGCCGCTGAATAAGCGGGGGGGGGGGGTAAGCGTACACATTTTCTTTTTCTTTTTCTAGAGTCCAAAAAAAATATCGCATCGACTCAGCCAGCCGTTGAATGCGCGGGGGGGGGGGGGGGGGGGGGGGGGGGGGGTTAAGAGGACATTTTGGGGGGGGTCTCGAAACTTTGACATTTTGTCCCGTTGGGGGGGGGGGGGTAAGGTCACCTTTTTTAGGTCAGTCATTGGCCTTTTTTTTTTTTTTTTTTTTTTTTTTTTTAATTATAAAAAAAAATCTCAAAAGGGGGGGGGGGGGGGGGTTCCAAAAAAACATACATAAAACATACACATAACAAAAAAACTGAGGGGGGGTTTAAACCCCCCCCCTACCCCCTGCCTACGCGCTTGTCTCTATGTATTCGGGCCTCTTCCTGAATGTTTTCTCTCTCGTCTTTTGCTTCGGAATCTCCCACGATAAAAATTAAATTAATAATTTAACATATTTCCCACATGCCTATAACAATGAAACTACACAGAATTGTAGTTAAAGGTATGCTTGAAAGATATATGAAATAAAAAAAAATTAAAATATTGTTCAGTTTCTTTTAAATAAATTTACGAAAATGGCTATTTCTACCAACTGACTGCTGTTGTGTTGTTGTGTGTGCATGGGGCAGACTGTGTGCACAGGCAGTGTGATCACCCTAGGATTAGAACCGTTGGCGAGCCGAAAGTCGCGGGGGCCGAATCTGTTTAGGGTCGACATGTTTCGTGTCCTGGATCCTGGATGCATTGAACGTGGCGAGTGATGCTGAAAATAATTGACAATTTGGAAATAAGGTATTATAAAAAGAGGAATGATAGATATCTTAAAAGATTTATCATAATATTCATAAATGATAAAAGAAAAAAGGAGAAGAACAAGAGAAGGAATAGAAAAAATATTAAAAAATGATAGGGCATAGAAGAGAGAGCACAATACAAAGTAAAAAAAAACTGTATAAGAAGAAAGAAAAACAGGTGGCGAAAAAAAAACGGAAGAGGGGGAGGAGGAGGAGGGGAAGAAGAAGAAGAAGAAGAAGAAGAAGAAGAAGAAGAAGAAGAAAAAGAAGAAGAAGAAGAAGAAAAAGATGAAGCAGACGACGAAGGGAAGATACGAAGAAGAAGTGAAGATGAAGAGGGGTAGGAACCCCCCCCCCCCCACTCCGGGGTCGGAATGACCGCATGCGTGTTACCAAAATGTCCGGTAAAGGGGTACTTTTCGTGCGACAAAGTCCGGCCCGAGAATTGTAAAAAAAAGGGTTGTATTTGACTTTTCACCCGGAGATTTCTTTAAAAATGGGGTGTTTTTCATTTTTTCTCTCTTTGGACTCCTGAGAAATTATTCCGAATTTAGGGGGGTACATTGAGCATTTTTCCGTATTTAGGGGGGTCTCCAAGGCAGGAAAAACCTGCGAAAAGCCCGTGAAAGGGGAGTTCGGACATATTGGCAGTCCTCAGATAGGGGGTGCTTTCAAAAAGAGGGAACGAGCATACGCGTTCCCTAAATAACACTGAGTGGGGGGGGGGGGGGGGGGGTAGGAAGAATGGAAAGGATCGAGAAAAGATATAGAGATATTTGACTCATGGAGTAGAATAAAAAAAAGAAATATATTCAATTCAATTTTCAATTCAATTCAATTTCAATTTCAATTTCATTTATTGTTCAACCATCAAAATATATATACAATCAAAATAAGTTACATCAAGAATTAGAATAACGCAATGATGGTTTGGTAACCCCGGAGAAAGCAGAGCTTATAAAAAGGGGCCACCAATACATAAAAAGATAAACATTAATTATACCAAAAAATATCAACATCGAACATTAATATAAACAAGAAAAAAAAGAGAAGTACACTTCTGCAGCAGCAGCAAAAAACTGTATCTACATGACTACAAGAGGGCAGTACAAATGAAAGCGAACATATAAAGAAGGTAAGATTTCCCTGCTTAGCTTTTTTAATCTGGAAAGAGTCGAGCTGTTTTTGATATTGTTGGGGAGTTTGTTCCATAACTTAGGAAAATAAATTATAAATGAATTTGCGGCGACGGAAGAACGAACCTGAGGTAAGTGTATTAAATTACTTTGGTGAGTTCGGTAAGAATGAATTGAGGAATTCAAAACAAAGATATCGCTAAGGAGAGGAGGCAAGATTTTGAAGTTTATACATAAACACAAGAGAATTCAAGGTTATCAGGTCCTTTAACGGTAATATATTTGATTGTGAAAATAAGGGTTTTGTATGACTATTGAAGGGAGCATTAAAGATAATTCGTATTGCTTTCTTTTGTAAAATGCATAATTTATCTAAATGGGTTTTAAAGGTGTGACCCCAGACAGTATTACAGTAATTGAAATGAGGGAGTATAATGCTATTGTAAAGAGTCGTCAGAATAGACTGGGGCACAAAAAGTCTTAATTTAGAAAGAACACCAATAGATCGTGATATTTTTGTACAAATTGAGCTAAGATGTGGCTTCCAAGAAAGATATTCATTCAAAATTACACCTAAAAACTGCATATTATCGACCTTTTCTATGACATTTCCACCAATAATGAGGTTTGACAGATTTGACGGAACCCTCCTTCCTCTCGCACGAAAAATAATATACCTAGTTTTGTCAAAATTTAAAAACAATTATTGCAAGCATACCATTTATTTAATTTGTCTAGTTCATTGTTTGCTGATGATATAAGATTGTCAATTTCTTTATGTGATAATGAAACAGTGGTATCATCAGCAAACAAAGAGAAGTTTAGAATTGAAGAACATTTAACTATATCATTTATGTAGACGAGAAAAAGGAGGGGCCCTAACACAGATCCCTGAGGAATTCCACAGGATACATCCATTTGTTGAAATTTTGACACCATCGATCACCACATATTGATTTCTATAGAACAAGTAACTGACGAACCACTGAAGTGGAACCCCTCTAATTCCATAAAATTCTAATTTTTTTAACAAGATGTGGTGATCAATGGTGTCAAATGCTTTTGACAGGTCCATAAATACACTAAGGAAATAATTACCAACATCTATTTCATGTGATATAGTATTAACCAAGTTCAGTACGCCAAGATCAGTAGAAAAATTCTTTCGAAATCCAAATTGTTGGGGTATCAAAATATTGTTTAGTGCAAAAAAATTATACAGGCTGTCGTAGATTATCCTTTCTAACATTTTTGAAAAAAAAGGTAATAGAGCAATTGGTCTGTAATTAACAATGTCATGTTTGTCACCCTTTTTGTATATTGGTATTACCTTAGCGGTCTTGAGATTATCAGGGACAATACCTTGTGACATTGATTCATTGAAGATATAACAAAGTGGATCAACAATTGTATGAATGCATTCCTTAATGACACGTGCAGCAATAGAGTCCGAACCTGGTGCAGCAGATGTTTTCATGGATGAGAGAACATTGATTATTTCAGTATTGGAAGTCGGATTAAAGAACAGTGAACTTGGTACACGGTTTGATAAATAATCCAGAAAGTGAGAGGAAGAAGTTGGTATCTTTTCTTGTGTAATCTTTCCAATATTAACAAAATACCTATTATTAAATGCTTCAACAATAGATGCTTTACTAAGTATCTTATCCTGATTGTAATACATGTAAGAAGGTAATGTTTTGTTTCTTTTACCTAATAAATTGTTTATTTGAGACCAGGTTTTTTTCATATCACCTCTCAATTTTTTAAATAGGTTTTCATAATAAATCTTTTTGCTTCGGCGAATGATACTTGTGAATATGTTCTTATATTCAACGTGTTTTTTTCGCGTACGAGTGTAACCCTTCTTCATATAACGACAATATAACTTTTGCTTTCTCTGAAAAGATTTTAAAATACCACGGGTGATCCAAGGTTTATCATGTTTTTTAAGTTTTACCTTTGTAAGGGGAAAACATATATATATAAAAAATGAATAGAAGATTACATTCGAAAGTAAGATTGAAAGATAGAAAAGGAGAAAATAAAAGATATATAAATTATAGAGAGAGATGGACAGAAATAGAGAGAGAGAGGGCCGGGAGAGAGGGGGGCTGCATAGACAGACAAAGAGGAAGAGAACCAGCTTACCTTGGATCGTCAATGCATTCAAATTTAATTCCCTTGTCGCTACGTCTTCTTGTAATTGCAACAATGAACCTGTCACACACTTTTCTCTGTGAATAGAGAAGAAAAGAAATTTAATAAGACTACAGAGACTTGGTACTTGGTTGGGTAATCCCTTTGGCAGCTCACTCAGGAAGCTATACTGGGATGGTAGGTGAGGCAAGTGACTACAAGGAGTGACATGAATTGCTGGAATGGTGTGTGGACAAAGCACTTGTCAATTTACAGTAAAATATGCTAAGTCCAGTGCAAGTAAAAACCAAGCTAGTAAGCTTATATGATGTGAGAACCAACGGGGGGCTGCATCATTCTGATGGAGGGTAGAGCAGCCTCCTTGAAGTTGGTTATTCCTGTTGCATTGACTGCTGAGCCTGGCAGATGGTTCCAGATCCTTATTGCTCTTGGGTAGTATGAGAACTTGAAGGAGTCGATAGTTGCAACAGGAATTACATACTTCAGGTTGTGGTCATGTCTTCCGAAGTATGTAGCAGGGATAACAATAGTTGGTGCAGGTATGGAGACAAGTCGGTGATGGATCTTGTAGAGAAGGGTGCATTGGTCGAGGATTCGACGTGTGTGAAGCGTGTCCCACCCTAGAGCTGCCACAAGAGCTGATGGTGATGTGGTGTATCTGTAGTCACGGTACACAAAGCGAGCCGCTGTTCTTTGTACTTGCTCTAGCATTTTTGTGACTGTGACGCTGTGTGAGTTCCAAGCCTCCGAGGCATACTCCAATTGGGGGCGCACTAAGGCTGTGTAGGCCCTGGACTTTACATCCCTGGTACAGGGTGAGAGAGTCCTGCGAAGAAGACCTAGGGTACGGCTTGCTTTATGCCGGATGGTTTGGCAGTGCTTGTTCCAACGGAGATCAGCAGCAACCATTACTCCAAGGTACTTGTACTCTTTCACTCTCGGAATCAGTCCATTTGACAGGTGGTATTCTCGGATGCTGGGAGTACGCTTCCGTGTGATGGTGAGGATAGCGCACTTTTTCACGTTGAAGTCCATCATCCAGTTTGAAGACCACCTGGACAGCTGTTGGAGATCGTCCTTTAGGATTTGATGGTCCTCAGGGCATCGAATCTCACGATAGACGGTGCTGTCATCTGCGAAGAGACGCATTGTGGACTGGATGTTGTCTTGGATATCGTTGATATACAACAGGAAGAGGGTAGGGCCGATGACGGATCCCTGGGGGACTCCAGATGTTACATCCCTCCATGTTGATTTGGATCCATCAACTACGACTGCCTGTTGTCTATCAGTGAGGAGAGACATTATCCACTGGAGTGAGTCACCACTTATTCCATAGTACTGAAGTTTGGTTGACAGGAGAAGGTGTGGTACTCGATCAAATGCCTTCTTGAAGTCCAAGAAGATTATATCAGCTTGGCTACGCTGCTGTAGGATGGAGGACCAGTCGTGGACGGCTGTTGTCAATTGAGTGGTTGTTGACAACCCTCGTCGGAAGCCATGCTGTGCATCAGTGAGGATATTATTCACTGCAACATGCTTCGACACATGGCTCAGGATGATATGTTCCATGACTTTGCAGCAAACGCAGGTAAGTGAGATCGGTCTGTAGTTGGAGGGGTCACACTTTTCTCCCGACTTGTGAATAGGGGTAACCAGTGCTTGTTTCCATTGGGCTGGAACGATGCCACTGTTGTAGCTTTGTTGAAACAGGAAGGACAGTGGAGAAGCAATCTCGCGAGCTACCAACTTTAGGAGCTTGGGTGGAAGTTCATCAGGTCCGCTGGCCTTTGAAGGGTCCAGTTGTTGGAGGCGTTTCTCGACACCAGTCCTGTGAACATGCAGGTGACCAATAGTTGGAAAAGGAGAAGGTCCTTTCTGTACAAGAGGTTGGAGCTGGTGAGGAGTAAAGACAGACTGGAAGTAGTCGTTCAGTGTCTCTGCCTTGTCTAATGCTGAGGCGCATAGTTTAGATGGAGTACGCAAGGTAGGAATACCAATGTTTTCAGAACGACATGTCTTGATGTAAGACCAGAAAGACTTTGGGTTGTCCTTAAGGCTTGCCCCGATGATGTTGTTGACGTACTCACAACGTGCTCTGTGCACATTCTTGGCAACTTGGTTCCTGAATTGTCGGTAGGCTGTCCAAGCTGTGGAGCAAGACTGGCTGTGTGCCTTCTTGAATAGGCTATCTCTCTTCCTCATCTGGCGTTTCAAAGGAGGAGTAATCCAAGGAAGATGTTTCCTTCCTTTGCTCATTTTGGAAGGAATAAGCTCAGACAAACACCTGTTCAAGAAGTTGACAATGATGGACCAGTTTGTCTCCACTGATCTTCTTTCTGGATCTGATTGGAGGAATTCCGTCGCAAATTCGGCTGCTGCATCTCTCAGTTGCTGTTCGTCAGCTTTGTGGAACTGGTAGATCTTCCTCAGGGGCTTGACAGAGATCTTTGGATTTGCAGCAAGGGTAAAAGTGACGATGTTGTGGTCTGATATCCCAGACTTTACGCACACATTCTCAACCAGGGCGGGATTTGACGTCACAACTAGATCCAGGATGTTGTTGGATGAAGGTCGGGTGACTTCCCTGACTGTTTGAGACAAGGAGTTGTGCAAAAGGATATCCAACAGCTTCTGGTGACAAGTAGAAGTGGCTGGATTTGTAGTCGACTGGTCATCCCAGTTGATGTCTGGGTGATTAAAGTCGCCGGCTATCAAGATGTTAGGGTGGCTGCGCCGGTGCCTTGTCATAATCTTGGACAATGACTGGTGCAAGCCTTCAAGACCTTGTTGTCTGTTGTTGGGGGGGGGGGGCAGTAGTAGCTACCAATATACAGTGGCTTGGCATTTGCAAGTTGCACGTTGCACCACTGTATCTCACAGTCTGAGTCAAACTCTGGACATTCAGTGACAATATTAGCGTGTCGATGATTGCTATGAAAACACCACCTCCATGGATGTTTCTGTCCTTACGGTAGATTGAGTAATTGCTTGGGAAGATTGAGTATGATGATAAGCTGTCATCCAGTTTTGATTCACAACCAAAAACAAAATCAGGAGTGTGGTGAGCAATAGCTGCATGGAAGCTTGATTTTTTAGCATTCCCCTTAAGACCATTGCAGTTTACAACCATCACTTTAAATGCCTTTTTGCGATTTCTTGATGGAGGGTGAAAACGTGGTTGACGACGTCCCCCAGGGCTCGATGTAGGCGTAGAGGTTAAAGGGTTGATGGAGGGAAGGATTTCTTCATTACTGGAGTCGTGGTGAAGGGGTGAGAAACGATTGGTCTGTGAGAGGTTAAGACCTTGCAGCGAGCTGCTTGACCCTATGTTGGTAGAGGAACACTGGCAGCACACCCAAGCGAAGCTCCTGGACTTCTTCGTCAAGATATCATAGGAGTCTGGGGAGATACCGACACATGAGATGTGGCACCAGCAGTCGCAGTGATCGCATAAGAGAGCAGGGTCGTTGTCTCTCACTTCATCCCCACAGATGGCACATGGAAATGTCTCAGGAGCACTAGTTGATGGACCAGGGTTGGTTTCAACTTGTCCGCTGAGGAGAAGTAGGATGGTTAGATGGCTCAAAGAAGTCGACCTGAAGTCAAGTGGACAAAGCTTTGTATTTCGATTCCACTTATTACAGGATGATATAAAAAGTAACAGTTTGCAGTTATCAATATCTGCAGTGTAAGTACGCCTTCTAGTAGGCTGGTGTAGTGATCTTGGTTCACAAAGCGTTGCGTGTAGATCGAAGAAGGGTAAAGAAGCTGATCTATGGTCTGCAATCTGCGTGTACAGGTTTCCACTCTTCAATAGTTTAAGGGCACACACTATTGAGAGTATTGCTAGAAGGAGTGGATGTGATCTAGAAGAAGAGGGTGGTAAGAAGTAATTCTTCATGATGGCGTTTGCAAGTCGAACGGTGATGAATACCGGTGATTAAATTTGGCAGGACAGTATTCAATATTCAATACGTATTCAGAACAAACAAAGGGAAGTCAGAAAAGCTCAGCAGTCTCACTCACTCAGCTACACCCATTTTATGTAGGTTAGCTATTAGTAGTAGTAGACGGTTAGCTAAATCATCTGGTAAATGATTTAAATCCCAGTGAGTAATTGCTTCTATATCATAAGAATAATATAAGCATAATTCAGTCAGAAAATATACATTACAGTTATTGATGCCTGTAGTGTAGGTATGAAGAAGGCTGGGCAAAATAAGCAAACTCAGGATCCTCCATATGGGACTACAGGTGTGTGTTCAAATTCCTTGGCAGAAAATGGCTGTAAAACTATCACAATATTCTACCTCCAGAAGGTATCAAAGAACAAAATAATCATATCAAAAGCTTGAAGATATGTTCAAGAAGCAAAATCAGGTAAATAAAATACACGATCTGCAGTTAAAAGTGCAAGATTAAGTGGATTTTATATCACAAAACCAGACCATGTCTGCTCCCTGTAGCCATCACCTCGTTTTGTATTAAGTGAGAGTTAAAATACTTCGGGATCATACACCCCCTGGAAATTTCCGGATTATTTCGCAATAAACAAAAATCCCGCTCTGAAGTTTTCATTACTTTTTTGCAAGGTTCATTCATCTTTTAACACCAAATTGATGTAAATTAGGCGTTCCGGAATCGCATGAAAATGGAGAATAATAGTCCAGGATATCGGTTTTTTTTTTTACAAAATATATTTTAAATCAGGCATATCCAACATTCAAAATTAGACCATGAAAATTTGTAAAACAATGGCATATACAGGATTAAAAACAATGAAATGTATAAGTGGTTCAAAACAACAAATAAAATTCAGAAAATGAGGACAAGTCGTTATCCAAAATTTGCTTCAGCCTATTTTGACTACTATTAATTCCACTAAAAAGGTGGGGTTTATGTAACACCCTACTCCTAAATGGAGTTCTTCCAAACAGCTCAGCTTGAATAAGGTTGATACACAACATAATCATTACATGAAAAGAGGTGAGAAGAAGCAACAAAAGAAAATCATCTAAATCAGTTATGAGCAACAGTGAAGTCTAAAAATAAGTCATGTGACCTATGTATCCTTACGTCACGTCTCCGTTAAGGCTATGGACAACGTAAGCCGTCAGTGACGTCACTTTAGCTGGGTCAAGATTGGCCACCTCCTGGGGCCGAAAGAAGCTGAAAAATAAGGTTATTTGATTTATTATACTTTTTTTTGCTGGTCTTTTTCCAAAGTAAGAAACTAATACTTAAATAATCATGATAATAAACAAAAGAGAGTCATGTTAAAATAGTTAATATTTCTTTCTTGAACATCATGAATTAAAAGCATGGATAAGATGTTTCTAATTTGCTATGTCACCGTTATACATAAGCGTTCTATAAAAAGGTTTAAATTAGGCATCACGTTTTATATAAAGAAACTCCGTAGGTCTAATAGGAAAATGATCAGGAAATATGCTTTGAACATTATTCTCAGAGAGAATGTAAAAAACGAATATTTCGCCAGATCCGAAACTAGCTCATTTAGAACCGCCCCCCCCCCCCCCACACCCCCACTCCGAGAACGGACGGACCCCATGCGTGTTACCAAAATGTCCGGTAAAGGGGTACTCTTCGCGCGACAAAGTCCGGCCCGAGAATTGTAAAATAAAGAGGGGTGTATTAAGTTTTCACCCGGAGATTTCTTTAAAAAGGGGGTGTTTTTTCTTATTTTCTCTCATCTCTTTGGACTCCTGAGAAATTATTCCGAATTTAGGGGGGTACATTGAGCATTTGTCATGATTTAGGGGGGTCTCCAAGGCAGGAAAAGCCCGTGAAAAGCCCGCGAAAGGGGGGTTCGGAAACGTTGGCAGTCCTCAGATAGGGGGTGTTTTCAAAAAGAGGGAACAAGCATATGCGTACCCTAAATAACACTGAGTGGGGGGGGGGGGGGCGGGCATTTAGATCTAATTTGTGACTTGATTGGATGTGACCTTTTGACCTTGTCGCTATTCACCATCTTTACCTTTTTGGTCGATACGCCCCGTCTGCTCTGCTCCCATCCAGTATAACAGTGACCTCACCACTCGCTTGGCCAGCAAACTGAAACATAAAATCAAGTTGGGATGTAATCAAAATTAAAGTGAGATTTTTTAAATTACAAATTCACGGGAGCTGCAGACTTCACTCCCGAAACCACCTCCTATACAGTGCGTCCCCAAAAAAACTATGCACTTTTGAAATGGCTGCCAAATAAAAAGATATATGATTCTGAGGGAAAAGTTTTATAATTGTACGGAAAGCTCATAAACGTAACTTTCATATGACACCAAAAGGTCCGAAAATAATTCATGCTTGGGTGAGCACTGCTCACTTTTGTAAAGGGTATGAAAATTAGGTTGCGCAGGGGAATTAGCCTTCCAATTTTTGAGAGGTAAATCCTTTGGAGCTTACAAAATTGAGGGTGATATGATACATTCATGATTTGCTGAGTGAATTTCATGGTTTATTAAGCCACACTTTTATGCATGAGTGAACGGGAATTGCATTTTGTATTGTACTACCCGGATCGTAACTTTCCCTGGTAGATTCAGTGGTGTGTTTATTGGAGTCAGGGTAGGTGATGGTTCATGTTGTAATTTCCATGTTTCAAACAAACAAACATCATGAATGTATCATATCACCCTCAATTTTGTAAGCTCCAAAGGAATTGCCTCTCACAAATTGGAAGGCTAATTTCCTGCGCAACCTAATTGTCATACCCTTTACAAAAGTGAGCGGTGCTCACCCAAGCATGAATTATTTTCAGACTTTTTGGTGTCATATGAAAGTTACGTTTATGAGCTTTCCGTACATATAAAACTTTTCCCTCTGAACTATATATTTTTTTATTTGGCAGCCATTTCAAAAGTGTATAGTTTTTTTGGGGGGACGCACTGTATACGCCCATGCCCCTGATAATCCCGGATACGCATCTAGTTGCGCTGTGAATCACTCAGTTGCATGTAGGATAAGTTGTGAAATATATCTTAATTGTTTTAGCAATACCAGGCTCAAAGAATGCTTATTATTTTGTAAGATCTTCAAAAATAAAGAGGATATAGTGATAAAAATGTTGTCGTGTTCTAGTGGATCAACATAGTAATGTGGATCATAACTGTGATAATTATGCAGCTCGAGCTAGCCCCAGCTGCAGCACAACGTCCTTTGCTGAAACAAAAGTTTGCCACTCTTCACCAAGGTGTAGAAAATGGTTACCCGGTAGGGTCAGCTTGGTTATATTAGGGTATAGTAATGTTTCTTTGTAGGCACCCTGCACATCCCTTGGGATGCACAAATTTAACGTGCGCAATAGAGTCATTTTTATTATGCTTACATATTGTGACGACTCTTTCCACAATGCATCTACATCGTTTTCACAACTGTCGAACGTCGGACAAGCGTCGTAATTTATCCCCGGAGCGTCGACCATGCCGCAGAAGGTCATCCCGTCCACAAGCCCACCAAGCATCGTGAGTTCGATGTTGGTGAAATCGGAGGACTGCCTGCCGATGGCCATTGCAATGCTATACATTCCTGAATAGAATAGTGTCTGAAACAAATAGAATACAAATCATGAGAATGATAAATTTCTTTTTTTTCTTCTTCAAAATGTCTGTTGTTATCTTTGGTCAGAGACGGATTAATATTGCCGGCTACTTTTATTTCGTTTGAAATTCATAGTTGATACAATATTGTTCCCGTTTTTTGTTCTCTTCGTCTTTCTTTTCTTTTGCATTTATTTGAATCATTATCATAGACGACGTTGTTCCGGGGGAGTCAGGTACACCTCATCGAAATGGGAAAGAGAAATGAAAAGAAAGGTAAAGAAAAAGAAAAAGAGCTGTACTAGAGAGGGGCACGGAGGTAGATAGAGCGAGAGAGAGAGAGAGAGAGAGAGAGGGAGAGAGAGAGAGAGAGAGAGAAAGAGAAAGAGAGAGAGAGAGAGAGAGAAAGAAAGAGAGGAGGGAGAGAGAGAGAGAGAGAGAGAGAGAGAGAGATGGGGTAGGGGTAGCAAAGAAGTGAAAGAGAGAGAGAGATGGATAGGCGAGGTTGGGGTATGGGTAAAGGACATGCTGATACCATGGTAACTATGACATGTGGAGGACGAACCTGGTTATCGGCGAGAGGGACGAAGGCCATGCTGACAAAGTCATCGAAGTCCTCTGGCACGCTGTTACAAGGCTCCTGGTAGGAAAAACTCGAACTAAAGGCGTCCCACAGACCCGAACAGTTGTACAACCTGTGCGGGAATATAGAACATTAAATTTGAAAGACATTGCTTAAAATGCGAATCTCAACCTGCTCATTAAGTTCACTCAAATGAAGCACAAGGTGGTCTTTATAGACAGGTTCCTCTAATAGGGACTTTTAGATTTGCACGACGAGACTACCACGTGTGACATCCTTTTAAGGCAATGTTACGTCTTTTTAAGGAACTGCCGGGCACTGCCAGTGCCTTAAAAGGACGTCACATTGCCTTAGTGACTTGGTAACATTGTTGAAGGTTGATGAAAAAATTGCTTAATTTTTGTATAAAATGTTACTTACTATAATATTCCTTCTAATGTACTAACCCTTTGACATGCAAAAAATCTCAAACAAAAAAATTCTCAAACCACGAAGATATCTATGGTTTCCTTTGAAGAAGCCGATGTATGACACCCTCTAACAGTGATTAACAGTAAATTCTCCCAACCATTTTTGAATTTTCCAAACCGTTTTTCCATGAAAAGAAGACATAAAACAGGCTATACAAAATCTGTCAACACTTAAATGTCTAGAATGGAATGTAGAGCCATTTTATTGCTTTGTGACGAATTCCATTCACCTAAAATGTAATTAAATTGTAATAATATACACTGTTGGTCATAACGTTCCTGTTTTCACGAAGTGACGGTAGTGAGGAAAATCTGCACGCAAATTGTATTCGTGAAAATAGGGACGATAATGGTGGAATAATTATTTTTACCCCAGTTTAGGGAAGGATTTTAAAAATTTATTTATTTCTAATAGATCTAGATAATGGCATACATTCTCAGATTTTATTGAATATTTATTTACGAGTGTTTGTTTTGCGTGACTGCTAAATCATATGTATGCTACTATGCTAATCAGCTAGGGAACCTACGTCCTTAAGTCATAATTGACAGTAATGAGGATTAATGCCTCACAAAAGGGCACTAATATAGCTGATCAACACGATTTTTATCCTGGGGCCTCACAGTAACGAGGCTATTGCTAAGCCCCTGAATCATGACTGTACGCAGTGGTTGCTAGGGTACGCGGCCGCCCCCACAAACCCCCCAAAACGAAGAAAATGCAATAAATTGTCAAAAATTCATTGCATTTCCCCCAGGCCCCTAACAGGAAAAATTCCTCTGTAGGGCCATGCATTATGGTTCAAGGCTTGGCCACAAAGAGACCTTGGCCACAAAGAGTGCTTATATTACATCCACAGGGGCATCCATATCAAAATTGTAAAGAATCACTATCCACCCAATTTTCAAAATTTCCCAAAACTTTGTATTACCTTTAAGGAATCGATCAGATCAGTTTTTCCCAATTTGTACCATGAATAATGGTCCGTTTTCACTCGAATTTTCAGGTTATCTTTAATTGTACATCTAGCATTGAACTCACTACCTTAGAACCACTATCTCTCATCTGAACAATGTTACCAAGTCCCTTTAAAAGGATGTCACACGTGGCAGTCCACGATCCGTCGTCGTGCAAATCTAAAAGTCCCTTATATAGTCCTCTGACAGGCTGTTACGAGGATCTTTGTAAAAAAAACTCCAGCTGAAGGTGTCTCAAAAACTCGAACAATTTTGAATTTGGATATTTATATCCCACGAGACCGACAATATTTTCCCTTCGGTCACCTTTTCTGAGGGTTCATGAAACTGACGGCCAGGGAGATCGAAATCTCGTGGGCCTCTTGTTAACTTATAGTTTTAGGGCTCAGAAGATTATGAGCGACGTAATTTAAATCTTTTTATTCTCCATGATTTATTTGTTTTGCTTCTCTCCTTTTCGTTGCCATTCTTTTTTTCTTTAAAAAAAACCTTTCTGTCCTATCTATACAAGCCAGTTCACAGATACAATCTGCGCATGGGCAGATGAAGGTCATTTGTACCAAAATGGTAAAACATAGATGAATACAGGATATGCGCTCATGAAAGTTATGTAACATTATTCATTTATGCTCCAACGGTACATTCTATGATACGCAGGTGGAAGTATTCTTTTCAAGAGGTCAAACAAAAGGTATTCATGAAGCACATCTAGGACTTTGGCAGTTATTATTCTAAGATGCTCAAAGTGGAACTTCTTCATGTGTGAAAGATCTGTGGATATTTGGGGTCATTTGTACCATGTGATATCTGTAAACTCCCTTATTTCGTCATGATTTGCTATAATCCTTGATCTTGTTTATTTTCATCTTCTTTGTCTTGTGTATTTTGTATTTCGGTATTTTTGGAACTTTGCATTCCTTAATAAATGATTGTGTTGTTCATGTAAATTGTCCTTCTCCTGGAATGTCTTCGACCTATCACGTGCTTTGGTCCATCGCATCGTCAGGGGGGGGGGGGGGGTAGGGGGCGGCATCGTAGTTTCATGCCCCATGGGGTAAAAAGTTAATAATTCAATAACATTACTGAGGAGCAATTTCCCCTCTATCCCCGGCGACCCCCCCCCCCATATGATTATGATTGGCCCCGAACTACAGCAAGTTTTTTTTAATCGTTATTAATTTATCTCCATATAGCTCCGTTAATGGCCTCGTAACTGTGAGGCCCCAGGATCAAAACCGTGTCGATGTGCTATTGCCCTTTTGTGGGGCATTAATCCTCATTACTGTCATTTATGATTTAAGGGTGTAGGTCCCCTGGTTGATAAGCATAGTAGCATTCACATGCTTTAGCAGTCACGCAAAACACACATTGGCTAATTATTATTCAATAAAATCTGAGAATGTATACTATTATCTAGATCTATTATTTTTAAATCATTTTTTAAATAATTCCATAAATTGGGGTAAAACAAAAAATATTCCAACTTTATGAGCGACAGTGTATTAACACTAGGGGACGATTTGATATGAGGAGGAAGTGTGTTGTAGATTGATTGATTGATTTTTATTCGACAAGCTTCCAATATACAACAATATACAATAATAACAGATCAAAAATAAGTCAGCTTGAACAGGATAACCCACGAAAGCTCGAGAGCTTATTTCCAGTGGGGTCCCTTACAGACATGTATACAATTAATAAATTAAAATAGTAATATTTACAGACAGATAAGAAAATTAAAAGAACTACTTATTAAAGATAATAATAACAACATTAAACTGATGATAGAAATGATATTAAGTACAAGAAGAAAAAGAAGAAGGAGAAGAAGAAAAAGAGGAGAAGGAAGAAGAGGAAAATAATGATGAATTTGTAGAATTTCTATAACGTACGAAAACATAAGTATATACAACATGAAAAAGTATGAACCGACAGAAGAATAACAATTTCAATCATATAACATGTCATTCACTTCTCTTCTCTGACTGTCAAGTATTAGGTATTCCTTTAATTTCCTCTTAAAATGATCATAGTTTCCTATTTCTTTTACACCATTGGGAAGGGAATTCCAATGTTTTATGGCATTGTAATAAAACGAATTTCCAATACTACCTACTCTTTCTGGTAAGTTAAAGTTGAATCGTCTATTTCTTGTATTATAATCATGTACGTCAGTAACAAGATCGAAGTTGGATCGAATATAATGATTCGCCCTAGTATGATATATTTTATGCACGTGATGCAATGCGAGTTGTTTTGATCTTTGGTCGACTTCAAGAAAACCAGCTTTAGAAAGTTCGCTATAGCCAACATGAGTTCTTGGACCAGAACAGTTGATAAATCTCACCATTTTGTTCTGTATAATCTTCAACTTCTTTTGATCTGACTTGTTTATGTTACTGTACCATGCAGGGTTAGCATAGTCAAATAAACATTGAATAAGAGCAAAACAGAGTGTACGTCTTGCTTTTAAATCCATACAACTTTGATATCTGTACAAAAATTTCAGACGAGAATTTGCTTTTTTTACAACTGATTCTACTAAAGATGAAAATGAAATTGCGCTAGCCAACTCAATGCCTAAATACTTCACAGACTCTTTTCTCTTGATTGCTTGATTATTGTGTGTCACTTTGAATTCAAATGACTTTTTAGAACTACTTTTAGAACAAAATAAAATGCTTTCTGTTTTTCCCAAGTGTAAAGAAAGCTTATTATCAGTCATCCAATCGACACACGTAGACAGCTGTTCACTGAGCTTTTCCTCAATATATTTAGGATCAGGATTTGAATAGAGTAGTACGCTGTCATCTGCGTATAATAATAGTTTGAAGTCTTTTATACAAATACACATATCATTTATATAACTTGAAAATAGAATTGGGCCTAAAATACTTCCCTGAGGAACACCGCATGTTATAGGCATTAGTTTGGAACGAATATCATGAATGGCCACTACTTGGTGCCGATTAGATAAGTAGGATCTGAACCAATCTAAACTTGCCTTATCAAAACCCATTAGTTGTAACTTCTTCAATAAGACGCAATGATTAACTGTATCAAAAGCTTTTTGCAGATCAAGGAGCACCATACCAACAAAGCGTCCTTGGGAAGTTTCTCTCCTCAAATAATCAGTCAAATGAATTAGACATGTTTCAGTCGAATAATCATGTCGAAAACCAGATTGAAATTCATAAATTATATCATTTTCTTTGAAGTATCTTTCAATTTGAACACAGACCGATTTTTCTAGAATCTTTGATGCTACGCTTAAAACACTAATAGGTCTATAGTTGCTAACATCAGTTTTATCTTTCTTTTTATAAAGTGGAGTCACTTTTGCTATTTTCATATCTTCTGGAAAAGTACTCGTCAAGATACATAGGTTCATTAAGTAACTTAGAGGCTTAAATAAAACCTTCGCACCATCTTTTAGAAATTTAGCTGGAATCAAGTCTAACCCAGTACTTTTTGATACATTCAACTTACGTAACTCTTTGAAAACAAATTGTTCACTGATTGGTAATAACTCGAAGCTGTTTTCACGTACACCTTTTCTTTCGTAAAAGTCACGAATACAATCATTGTCTGCGCTGAAAAAGTCTTTGGAAGGGGGGAGTTTGTCTACTAATTTGGCAGCCACATTTGTGAAATGAGAATTGAATTCATCAGCGATGGCCATCTTATCATGACATAATTCCCCATCAATTTTAATGACAGATTCTTGTTCTTTTCGCTTCTTATTTTTCAATCCTAAGCTTTTTAGATTCTGCCAAAGTTTTTTCGAATCTTGTTTATTTTCTTCTATCTTGTTTTGTAAGTAATCGAGTTTAGCCTTTTTCACCTCTCTTTGGACCATATTTCTTAATACTCTGTATCTTTTATAGAGCTTCTCATCTTTTGCTCTTTTCCTCCATTTTTTGTATACTATATTTCTCTCTTGAATTAGGGAAAGAATATCTTTAGTCACCCAAGTTTCTGATCTTTGTTTTATTCTTATCCGTTTCAGTGGCGCTATCATATTCAAATTTGAGATAAAAACATGTTGAAATATTGACCATGCCTCATTTACATCTGTACAGTCAGTTATTCGTGACCAATCAACAACAGATAGTTGAAGATTGAAAGACTCTTCTGTATATTTTTTCATGGATCTGATATCATTAGTCCTGTGATGACCTATAGCCAGTCTAACATTTTTCCGTGTACAGAAAGTAAAATAATGGTCGCTAATACCTAGATCAATGACACCACTTTGACTTATTTTATTTTCTTTGGTACAACCAACATGATCCAATAGAGAAGAACATGTAGGTGTAACGCGTGTTGCCTCTTTAATGAGTTGACTAAACCCATGAAGACTCAACAAGTCAATATATTTTTTAGCCAGTGGCGATTTGCGAAGAAGACAAATATTCATGTCTCCTAAAAGAATTATTTCGTCATCCTTCTTTAATGTATCAAGAATATTGGACAATTTCTCGATAAACAAATTGTTTTTCGGAGGTCGATACAGAACACCAACAACAATTGGTTTTGATCTTGGTATAAGCAAATTTATCCACAGGGATTCCGTATCTCCAGTACTTATAGCATCCATAATATTAAATGCAATATCATTTCTGATATAGAAACATACACCACCTCCAGAGCCAGAGGATCGATCATGGCGTGTGATTTTATATCCGTCTATTTCAATTTCTTCATCATTTATGGAATTGTTTAACCATGTTTCAGTGAAAGCAATAATAGACAGCCTTTTTCTTTTAAAAAGAATTCTAAGTTCCGATATCTTGTTTAGAATAGACCTCACATTAAGGTGTAAAAAATGAAGACCTTTAACTTTAAACTTTTCTTCAAATTCTTGATAAAGAGAAGTGTTTTCATCTCTGAGGTTTGGCTGAATTACTCTTGCTATCGCTTGCTTTTCAGGTGTAACGCGCGTTATCTTAAAATAGTTTTCTTTTAGTCTATACTCGTTTTGGCTTTCTTTCTCTAAACAATCGTCGTTAAATAATGAGTCACAAAAAGATGGCAGACAACATGTTAAACAATTCCACTTCTCATCAGGGCATTCATAATATAACCTGCGGTACTCTGAAAAACTGATAGCTTGACAATTAGTGTGAAACCATTTTTTACAATAAGAACACAGAAGGCCGTGTTGATTACATTTGACTGGCTTATCACAGTTCCCACAAGGGAACTTATATTTTCGACCGTCAACTATAATTTTCGGATCATCACTAGATTTTGTCAAACTTTCACTTAATTCAATACCCTTCTTACAAATTGAAGATATTTCGCCCAGTCTTTCATGTCCACCTTGGATGGTCTGAAGGCTGGTTTCAGTCGTGACCTCTGTTTGACTGCACTGAAATCCAAAGATCTCCCAGAAACAGATTCGGCGTAGGACTTTACGGGGCTGCTTTTCTCCTCATCAGAATGAAGACTCTGGTTTTCTCGGTAGATGGCTTGATGCCGCCTTGCTCCAGGTTCACTGCCTGTAACTTGATCGGACGACCGTTGAGTCCAGCCATGGCCTCGTGTTGTCGGTTGGTCAGCACTGTTGATGAGGCGTTTCAGGTTGCCTGCCAAGATTCGTTGACCGGCTCTGTTGAGGTGAACGCCATCACGCCCGAGATGCTGCTCGCTGATATCATTGTTGATGATGAGGCCCCATCTGTTCTCGCTGGCTGCCAACTCCATCAGATAGTTGATCTCATCAACCCGCTTCTTGTCCGCTTCACTCTCCCCTCTACGATGGATGATCGTAGAGACTGAGACGTTAAACCCCTCGGCAGCAACAGACTTGCCGAGGTCTGTGATTTGGTGGCAAACTTCACCAGCACCCTCAGAGATGTTATTGGTGCCAGCGTGGATGATCAGTTCTCAGTAGGCCTTTGCGTTTCTATACTTGAATGATCTTTTGAGGTAATTTGTTCTCGGTTTGGGTAATTTTATTTGAGCTCCAATTCGGGAAGGGTAGGAATGGGTTCTCAACTCAAATTCATTTCTTAAATACTCGGGGGTTAGATTATTCATAATTTTATACATAAGAACAAGGGAATGATGATTTCTTCTTTTGTCCAAGAGTTTCCAATTAAGAGCGTTATGCATTTCCAAAACAGAGACATAAGATTCGGGTTTTATTTGAAGTATAATACGGCCTGCCCTATTTTGCAATTGTTGAAGGCGATCTGTATATTGCCTGAAAGCTGCACTGTAAATAACATCACCATCATCAAAATACGGAAGGATCAGTGAGCTATATATTAATTTCAGTACCGATTCACTTAGGAATCGCCTTAGTCTTCCTAGAAAGCCTACCCTTTGACCAATTTTCTTCAACATATTGTCTATATGTAAATTCCAGTTTAACTTTTCATCAACTAAGACGCCAAGGTACTTGACATGATGAACTTGATCTATGGAGATGTCATTCAATGAAACTCGGAGGACATTCTTTTTAGATATCAAGTGGTTGCTTCCAATGAGCATACAAACTGTTTTTTGACAGTTGACACTTAATTTGTTTTGGCACATCCAGTAATACATATTTTCTAGGTCTGAGTTCAAAGATAATTCAATTCTATCTATAGAAGGATGTGAGAAATATAAAACAGTATCATCAGCATACAACTGAACTTAAAGGTTTTTATACATTTTACTAAATCATTTATATATACGATGAAGAGCAGTGGTCGAATGCAAAGTAACCGTGATACGTTAGTAACTGTAACGATTCCTTATTTTCTCATTGAAACGTGTCAGTGAACTTAGTATTTTTTACCTCAACTATTAAATAAAGAATATATCGTCCAAAAAAAAAGAGTGAATAATCTATTGATTAGACATGAACACAAGAAAGAAAACATTGATTTTTACACCATGTGTAACGAAGCTTAAGGATGCAGTAATAAAAATGACTAGATGAAATTAAGATTTGGACCCTATTGGAAATAATCTATTTACTAGCTATCAGGGGTCATCTTAGCCTCTTGTCGATGGCCCTGGCGCTGTTGGAGTCCGTAAATTCTGGCGAGCGAAGCATGCCAGAGAAAAGGCGCCGGTTTCTCTGGCGAGCGAAGCGAGCCAGAGAAACTCCAACAACGCCAGGGCCATCGACAAGAGGCTAGGGTCATCCAAAAGTATACGACAATGGATACTTCTGACATTTTTTTTTCGAGATTTACATGTACATTATATACTTGGCGAATATAATCAGTCAATCAGTTAATCGGTCAGTCAATGCAATCAACCACCTTACACTCAATCCAATCAATGAATCAAGTAACCTACCAATCAATCAATCAAGCAAGCAATCAAGCAATCAATCAATCAATCAGCCAATTTTTTAATCAATCAATATGTAAAATGAAATTTTACAAAAAACATACCAGTTCGGTAGCTTTAGTATAATCGTTATATTCAAAATTGAAAGTTCCATCGATTGGAATATAATGCACTCACCCTGCCTGTTCTTCAGAGCAATATTCGCAATCATAACAACGACCGAGAAAGATTGCTTTCAAGTTGGGCGTCGTGCCGTCACCGAGATCCGACGGCAACAGAACACCGGAGGAGTTTACAACAAGAGACGCGGCGACGATCACCAGAACGAAAGCCTTGTTGATGTAGGCTGGAGCGCTAGGGGATAAACCGTAGAGAGAATGCATGACGTCTGTTTGGGGAGAGCGTACGAAACCTTTTGATCGCAGATGGTTTAATGCGGTACTTCACAGAAGGTGTGTCGTCGCGCGCTTTGGATGAGAACGCTTATTGGTCAAACTTCTCAAACGAGCAGAACGGGCGGCGTATTTTTTTAATTTACACGCAAGCGTATATGGAATTTTACGGAAGCGTTAAAGTGCCATTCTACTTGACGACATGACGAGATATTTCATCTTGTCAAGTCGACTTAATATCCATATCATGTCGACATGTAAAGATATTCAACCTACCATGTCGACTTATCAACTTTTATTAGTCGACATGGCGAAATAAATTATCTTGCCAAGTCGACTTCACAAAAAGTTCATGTCGTCATGGCGACATAAGTTATCTTACCATGTCGACTTCTAAAAAATACATGTCGTCATGGCGACATATATTATCTTACCAAGTCGACTACCCAAAAAGTAATGTCGACATGGCGAAATAAATTATCTTGCCAAGTCGACTTCACAAAAACTTCATGTCGTCATGGCGACATGTATTATCTTGCCAAGTCGACTTCACAAAAAAGTTCATCTCGTAATAGCGACATAAATTATCTCACCAAGTCGACTTCCCAAAAAGTATATGTCGTCATGGCGAGATATGAAGTGTGACGACTATTTCATGCAGCGCGCGTATATGGCAAGCCCTTTGTGTAAAAACCAGATAAACTCTGTTTTTCTCAGAGAAACTCAGTTTATCAACAGATAAACAGAGTTTATCAGTTGATAGACTGAGTTTATCATTGATAAACTCTGTTTATCTGTTGATAAACTGAGTTTATCATTGATGAACTGAGTTTATCTGAGAAAAACAGTGTTTTTTTGGCCTTTGATAAACATTTCTAGACGACATCTTTTTGGTACTGGACGTCTTTCTCCAGGTCAGTGACATTTACTTTGAAGCTTGAATCCGCACCTGTACATCTTTGCTTTGCTTCATTCAGAGTAGTACTACATTCATCCATGTATCTAGAGATACAATATTAACAAATAATAAATGAGTGCAAAGCAAAACTTTCCTTTATACGCTGGAAGTCTGAGGAGCCTTTCAAAAAGTAAACCTGAAGCAATTTCTGTAGCAATATTGTGTGCTATTTGTAGACCAGGGCCCTTTTGCAGCCAACATCAAATACTGTAGAACTTTGCAGGAATTATGAATATGTCATGTATGTGAGAAATGTAAACATAAGCAGTGTCCTAGTATTCAAATTATGCAAGGAAACCCGTTTACCTTCTAGACTTCACTCTCAGACACTATTGAGTGACTGACTGACAACTTTTTTCTTTGGTAAAAACAAACATAAAAAGAGCTGTAACAGGTACATGAGCTTTTGTCTACATCAATAACTCACTACTTGTAATGGCCAAAATTAAACTGATTGAATCTCTGTGCAGCACAGAACGTACGACCATTCGGTAAAAGGGTCCGAAAATAAGACTATTACTTAGGTGATTGCAATCACTTAGTCGATTCGACAACTAATGGTCGTTATTTTCCCACTAAAAGCGATTTTCAAGCCCTTTCGTTTTGAGGGAAGTTCTAAGTTAGTGTTGTCTTCCAAATGCCGTTGGAATTTAACCTTTTGTTTTATTTTGGCCACTGAGCAAATGGTACCAATGGTACCTTTAACACATATAACGTACCCTTGGCAGCTCTTGTATTCCTGGTGCTGCAGAGCATCTTTTCCTTTTCTGAAATAGATATTTGCGATGCGAAGATAGCAGCTGACTTTAGCGTCGCATTCAGGCATGTTTCTCAGAGAAACTCAGTTTATCAGAAAAACTGTGTTTATCAATGATAAACTCAGTTTATCAACAGATAAACAGAGTTTATCAGATAAACAGAGTTTATCAGTTGATAAACTGAGTTTATCAGAAAAACTCAGTTTATCAGTTGATAAACTGAGTTTATCATTGATAAACTCTGTTTATCTGTTGATAAACTGAGTTTATCATTGATGAACTGAGTTTATCTGAGAAAAACAGAGTTTATCTGGTTTTTACACAAAGGGCTTGCCATATACGCGCGCTGCATGAAATAGTCGTCACCCTACATACCTCGCCATGACGACATATACTTTTTGGGAAGTCGACTTGGTGAGATAATTTATGTCGCTATTACGAGATGAACTTTTTTGTGAAGTCGACTTGGCAAGATAATACATGTCGCCATGACGACATGAAGTTTTTGTGAAGTCGACTTGGCAAGATAATTTATTTCGCCATGTCGACATTACTTTTTGGGTAGTCGACTTGGTAAGATAATATATGTCGCCATGACGACTTTTTTTTTTTTAGAAGTCGACTTGGTAAGATTACTTATGTCGCCATGACGACATGAACTTTTTGTGAAGTCGACTTGGCAAGATAATTTATTTCGCCATGTCGACTAATAAAAGTTGATAAGTCGACATGGTAGGTTAAATATCTTTACATGTCGACATGATATGGATATTAAGTCGACTTGACAAGATGAAATATCTCGTCATGTCGTCAAGTAGAATGGCACTTTAACGCTTCCGTAGAATTTCACAACTAATACAATAAAACCGCGTGCAAAGAGTATAGACTGAATTTTAAACCTTAAAGATACTATGTCTAATGTCGAATCTAGGGGAGGGGGGTTCGGCGGTTTAAACCCCCCCCCCCCCCCCCCTCCTTGGGCGGCCAAGTGGGAAAAAGGGAGGAAAAGAAGAAAGTAAAAAAGAAGGAAAAAAAAGTAAAACAGTAAAACGGCGCGATTTTTGGAAAATCCTGGATCCGCCACTGGGTCAACCCCCCCCCCCCCCTTAGCAAAAAGCTAGATCTGCCCCTGATGTCCCTTTTGCAGCCAACATCAAATTCTGTAGAACTTTGCAGGAATTATGAATATGTCATGACTTTTGTATGTCCTATAATTTTAAAAGTTAGCAGTGTCCTAATATTCAAATTATACAAGGAAACCTATTTACTTGCTAGACTTCACTGTCAGACACTATTGAGTGACTGACTGGCTTTTTGTGTTCCTTCTTTGGTAATAACATACATAAAAAGAGCTGTAAAGGGTACATGAGCATTTTGTCTACATCAATAACCCACTTCTTGTAATGGCCAAAATTAAACTGATTGAATCTTTGCGCAGTACAAAACGTACAACCATTTGGTACAATGGTCTGGAATTCAGACTATTAGGCCTACTTACTGACTTGGTAGCACTTAAGTCGATTCAACAATTAATAGTCGTTATTTTCCCACTTAAAGACGTGGTCAAGCCCCCCCCCCCTCCCCCTCCCTTTTTTTTTTTTAGGGAAGTTCTAAATCAGTATTATCTTTCAAGGAAGGCAAAAAAAAATAGCTTTTAGATGTGGGGGCGTTCCCAAAACTGGTCTATAATTATGTAGGTACGTGATCTGATAATGACAAAGTACTGAACATGTTTGTCGATACGTGGTGGTTGTCGTGTATGTGTATGTATGTTCACGTTCGCTGCGCTGATTTCCGCTCTCATAATCAACTGCAAGCTAGAGCAAAAAAAAATACCAATAATTATTGTGTTCAATATCTTCTCGGAACCAATTGCTCTGAATCTTGTGTTGTGTTCAAATTTACTTGTACTTAAATATCGCGAAATATTTAGGACCTTCCAGTCTTGTGACTCGCCGATCGAGTAGAAGTCGGTCGTACTACATACTACATTCCATTTGGATTAATCCGAACATTGCCTCCTTTCATTTGAAAGATCATATACTCAGGCACGTAGCCAGGGGGGGGGGGGGGCACGTGCCCCCCCCCATTTTTTTTAGACCCCTCCCTAGGACGTCGATCGATTACATGTACGTGCCCCCCCCCCAAACATCAAACTCTGGCTACGGCCCTGCATATACTGCCATCCAGTAGGGCACAGTGCCCCCATTTTTTTCAAGTACCCCAAAAGTGCCCCTGTCCTACATAGGAAAAGTGCCCCATTTATTTCGATAAGTGACCCTATTAATTTGTAAAAGTGCCCCTTCCCTTTTCACCTCTGATAAATCCCCCCCCCCCCCTCTTTTGACACATGCCCCTTTTCCTTCGACAAGTTCGTATTTTCCTTTGCAATAAGTGTCCATTTCCCATTCTCAAGTTCCCTTTTTAATCTTTAGTAAGTGCCCCTTTTCAGGTACTCTAATAATTGCCCTGTTAAAATCGGACAGGTGCTTCTTTTACTTTGACAAGTGCTCCTTTTTCTTTGTAAGAAGTGCCCCATACTCCTTTTAATAACTACTCCCTTTTTAAGTCGGATAATCGACCTTATATTTTCACAGGTGCCCCTTTTCCTTTCTAATAAGTGTCTCTTTTCCTAATTCCTAACAAGAAAAAGAGCCTCTTCCACCTTCTCAACTGCATGCCCCTTTTCATCTCTGAAGTTACTCCTTTTCACTTCAGGTAAGAGCCCCCTTCAGCTTCAATACTTGCCCCTATACAAATCTGAGAGATACTCGTTGTCCTTTGACAAGTGACCTTCCCCTCCTAATAAGTGCTTTTTTCATCTCTGATGATTGTCCATTTTCACCTCTAATAACTGCCCCTCTTATTTTCACACGTGCCCCTTTTCCTTTCTAAAAACTGTTCCTATTTTCTTTTTAGTGCCCCTTCCCCTTCTCACAATTACCCTTTTTCATTTCTGATAAGTGCCCTGTTTAGTTTAATACCTCCAATAAATGCCCTTATTAAAATCTGAACGGTGCCCCTTTTTCTTTCAACTAATGCACATTTTTCTTTATTATAAGTGCCTCTTTTCATTCTTATATGCCCTTTTTCATATCTGGTTAGTGCCCCTTTTCAGGTGCGATAAGTACCCCATTTCACCTCTGATAATTTCCCTTTTAATAATGATACGTGCCCCTTTTCCTTTCTAATAAGGGAACTATCCCTTTTTCCATAAATGCCCCTTATCACCTCTTATAAAATTTCCTATCAAAATCTGATGGGTGCCCCTTTTCTGTCGACAAATGCTCACATCCTCTTCCCATAAGTGCCTTTTCCATCCCTGGTGAGTGCCTCTTTTTGTGTAAGAAGCGCCTCATTCTC